TGTTAGAGTGAGAGTCAGGGTCAGCGTCACTTTGGCTGATTTTAAGAGTTTTTGTGACTTATCTTTAAGGGTCTCCATATGATTTCTTTGAGCGACATTAAAGCAACAGTTCAGGAACGGTTTCGCGGGAAAAAACCACCAATAATGAAGTTGTAGATGAAAACCAGACGATTAATGTATGAAAAACTGGAAAAAAACGTCGGGGAGGGTCTTAGACAGGTACTCTCCCTCTGCCGCTCAGCAATGGATAAAGACGCACGTTGGACGAGTTGTCTGAACGTGCCCGCTGTAAACGCGCTCCAATCGCACTTGCTGGGCAAATTGCAAAATGCCAGTAATAGCTGGCTACTTGCCAACAATGCAATTGAAGCGCGTAAATTGCATTTTTGATTTGATTTTTCATGTGTAGTTGTTTATCGTTTATATGTTGTCAAAGACGCGGGGGAGCGTAGCATACCGCCTTAGGTGTGCTTCTCGAACATATCCCGCGCACCGCATGTTAGGCCGCGTTCGTAGGTGTGTATGTATGGTTTTCGTGATGACGGAAAGCACTTGTGCTCCCATCAAAATTGTGAGTTGCTATGGTATGTGGCCGCCGATTCAATTTGAGGGACGTGTTGACTTGGATTACTTGTTCTTATTCAGTGATGCAAATGTTCTATTGGAAGACTCAAAACATTTACACACTAATGTTTATTGAAGATGTCATAGATTCACAAAGGAGAAATCACATTCATTCACAGAAAATGTTGCCGAAAGCATGTCCTAACATTACTGTCATATCTAAAAGCATAATGAACTACACAGATTTCATATCATAGATCGGCAACACAAAAGAACTGAAGTGACATTCGAATTCAGACACAATCTTTCCACCTCTTCCATGCACTGAGGTCGCAAAAGTCTCTTCACACTCGGTGCAGTCGTCACAGCTAGGAAAGAGCCATCCTAAACACGTTACAGAAGAGCTGGTATAATCAGTCGATGCAAAATCCACAGCTGATAAAAACCTTGGAAGATTTGCACTACGATGCCTAAGCTATATTTCAGCCGAGCAATTTTTCACCCATTATCAAATGAGAAAGAACTCACGGTTCAACTCAAAGCTCTATTTCCATATCCGTTTCTGTTTGCCGTCCGATTCTTCAGCTTGCTAAATCGATAGAATTCAAAACAATATCGTAAGCAACCTTATCGAAGTCTCCATAAGGAACAGAAGAAATGGGCTACCTGCAAATGGCAGTTTAGCTGCGCACAAACGCTGATCTTCCAGCTTTGAAAAATCACCAGTGTATAATGCCCAGATACCTGAAACAACATTCTGAGGTGAATAATGACGGTGAATAATGCGAGGTCTCATTTGTGGAAATGTATATGAGAATAATATCGTCCGCGAGCTCAAAGAAATAATGCCGAAAACGAAAAATGAAATCAACGAAGTGGAGAAAAATCCTTCTATTTTATAAAGCGCTAACTTTGTGTGTCGGTTTGTGTATCTGTATGTGTGTGTATGTATGTATGTGTGTCCGTCCGCAAAATGAAGTGAGTGAGAAGGAAGCTCATGGGATAAACAAACCGCTAACAAATCGGGTAGCTTACAGGATTTGAGATATCAATGTTTTGTAGCAGATAGTTGTGATAACACTCTCAGGGCTATATAAACACCTGCTTAGCACACTTCCGTTCATTCCACATGGTGCTGCAGTGGCAGCTGGAGGGCAGTGGAGAGAGGAAGGGAGGATGAGGAAGGGAAGCGAAAAATCTACCGTCATATCATGATTGTGTCCCTTCTACTGTTTGAAAACACCATTGTGTTGCATACGCGTCACTTCCACGAGGTGTTGGTGTCACAGGAGGAAGGGACCATAGCGGAGGATAGAAAGCTTGCGCAGGAAAGGAAGGTCCCGGCGGTTGACGGGGGACTAATCTGGTTATAAAAAAATACCCGAAGACGCTACAATTCTCCTTCCTCAGGCGAACCGTGCTTGGAGAGAGGTACAATAGAAGAGAATATGGACAGAAGATCATTTTTATCTGGCCAGAAAAGCATCTTCCTAGGAAAAGGTGTACGCAAGAAATACAACAGGTGTCCATTTTTACTAAGCGACAATCTTACTATCGAAGGGGGAACGGGAAGCAACGAAAAATTCCTTGACCCTCGTACGCAGAAAAGCGACAAGTTCGTACTAACGCTTCTCGATGTGTGGTTCACTAATACGGAAAGCGAAATGTTCCGTTCGCAGCGCGAAACATTTTCCGCTGCGGGAACCTCAGGTCCATCATCAGTGGACCCGAGGTTCCCGCAGCGAATCATCAGTGGACCCGAGATTCCCGCAACGAACAATGTTTCGCGCTGCGAAACGCGAAAAAGTCGCTTTCTGTCCTAACTAATGAACCAGAGCCTGGCTCACTAATACGGAAAGTGAAATGTTTGCGTTTTTTTTTTGCACATTGATTTGCGCATAAGTCGTGACTCAGTGGTGCTAATCTCATCAACTCTAACGCTCTATCTGTTAAAGCGGCTAGAGACAACGAGCGAGGAGATTGCGGGGGAGCAGCGCGGGTATAGCCCTGCTAACCTACTTGCGGCATGTCTTTAGCTGAGAGAGCCCACATCGTCTCTCCCCCCCCCCCTTCAGGGTTCCCTGACTTTCCCTAGGTATATTTCTTCTTCGATCTTCGACCTTATTGTGGAATGTTCCTTCAAACAAGAGCAATGGGAAGAAAAGCTCACCTGAAACTCAGATGGAGTCGTAACTTCGACTGACATGATGGGCTCAAGAAGCATCCATTCAGCTTTTTCGAACGCTGTAGGAAAAATTATGAAAACAGTAACAACTGGTAACTAAATTATGGCATTCGTGCAAAAAGAAATTGAAATAATCAAACAAAAAATGAACAAGCGAAACAAAACTGTTTACCTTCACGCATCATATTTTGCATAGTGTTGATCATGGCAATTTCAGTAGAATCAACTGCGTGCGTTGCTCCATCCTGGACGCGAACATTGATGCCAGCAATGGGAGCTTTAATCAAAGGCCCTTCATGTACGATCATATCCAAACCCTTAAAACACCTATTTAGCACGTTACCATTGGAACAGGGGAGAACACGAGGTCGGATGCAAGAACTACGGTTCAGTGAGGCGGGTCAGCGATGCAAGAATTACGGTTCAGTCAGGCGGGTCACAGCTCACTCAGTGGGCGAGAGGGTTACGAGATTGCGCTCTGAGGTGCTCTTCTGCTCTCATACCGTATTAGAATTCGCAAAATGCCTTACCGAATCAACATGAAGCTATTCACTATGAACATTGGCAGTGTTTTCCATGACCAGGGGCAAAGGGACTAATGCATCCGATCTCGCTTCCATAACAGAAGATACCTTCTTGAGCGCTGGGAAAAGCGATTTCGGGATGTTGTTCACCGAAAGTTTCATCCGTGAAATCGACATGCGTATTCCTGAAAAAGAGTAGAATAAGGAAATGAACAATGAAACCATTGAAAGCGAATTTCTACCTCTCAGCCGGAAGCGGGTCAATAACTCCTTCAATCTCACCGAACTGTCCCTGGCCACCGGTTTGTTTCTTGTGCCGATAGTGGAATCTGTTTGAAAGAAGATTCAAATAAAGAATCGGAACGCACAACAAAAAATATCTATTACTTGTATGGCTTCGTTAGCGATTCCCTATAAGCCACCGTTGGTTTGCCCAACTCCACTGGACAATTGAATTCACTTTTCATCCGCTGCGCATAAATTTCCTGCACAAAAACAAAGAATAACAGAAAAAATCATTGTCTTTACAGATAGCACAAAACAATTACCAATTGGAGCTCTCCCATTCCAGAAACAATCGTTTCTTTAGCTTCAGCATTGTAATCCTTACGGAAAGTTGGATCCTCCTTTGTGAAGCGAGTCAAAGCCTTAACAAATCAAATACAAACCGAAAAATACAAAGAAATTGACCAAATGTTCAAAGAAACGGCAAAATAATCGCAAGGGATACTACTTACCAGAGACCGTTAAACATTCTATCGAAACTTCAAGCCTCCATTTGGCGAGGGATATGTAACCACTATCACCTTCAACTTGGAGGACAGAAAACCGGACAAGTACAATGAGTGGTTCCCGCTATTTACTTTGAAGACCGTGCTTCCGAGCATACAAAAAGAGACCCGATCATTACTGTACGCTTGGTCTGCCAATGCTACAGGGCAGCAAAACGTAGGTTCAGCGAAGAAGAGCGCGTAAAGCTACCTATCCGTACCCCAACACATAGTAAAGTCCGGGAGGTTAGATCCTTCATTGAAAGTTATTACGAACGCATAATCTATACAGGGTGGCTACTAAATATTGGCGCATGGTTTATTATCATATTTCCAAAAAGAGAAGCTATCATATCTTAAGAAGTTTATTTTCATATACAATAAAACATGGAAATTTATTACCAAAAAAGTGCTCGAGATGGCCTCCTTTGGTAGCGATACAGGCTTGAAGTCTCTTTTCAACTGACATCACCGTGGGCCGCAAGTAGCCGACGTCGGCGTGATGTGAGTAGATCTTCAGACCAGAAGTGGCGCACGATTTGCAAAACGACAGGCAGTTGTTGGATCTGGCTAGCAGACATTCTGCTCGACCTTGTGTACACAGACGGGGAACCGTTTTTCAAACTTGTCATGGTTTGGGCAGGAATTACTTCTGAAACCATGACACCGCTTGTCTTTGTGGATGAATACATCAAAGCCAGCGCCCAGATCTACCCGGAAACAATTTTCACGTAATGCCCTTCTTCCAAGGACTCTTTTGACCTTCAGCGAACGTCATTGCATTCTTCAGCAAGACAGGGCGCCTCCACATGCCGCAAAATCAATGTTGGAGAACTGTGACCGTCATTTTCCAGTTACCGGGCACAAAATGTTTGGCCATCTAAGTCGCCCGATTTGAACCAATTGATTTGGCGGTGTGGGGTTTCTTAAAGCAGAAGATGTCTTCTGAGCAACGTCGAAGTTTGGACTCCCTTGAAGGCTTCCTTGGAGGAGGCGTGGAAGGAGCTTGACGTCAGCTACTTGCGGCCCACAGTGATGTCAGTTGAAAAGAGACTTCAAGCCTGTATCGCTACCAAAGGAGGCCATCTCGAGCACTTTCTTCAGCACTGTACTGCCATGTTATAAGGTATATAAAGATAAACCTCTCTGATAAGAGGGGGGGGGGGTGGGGGCGTAAAACGTTAATCCGTTTTAAAAATATGGTATGCGCAATATTTAGTAGGCCACCCTGGTAAACCAGTACCTTGATGATTTCTGCCATCCTTTCTCTTGAATGGGCTTATTGACTGGAAATGAAGGAAGGGGGAATTAAAAAAAAAAAAAAAAAAAAAAAAAAAAAAAAAAAAAAAAAAAAAAAAAAAAAAAAAAAAAAAAAAAAAAAAAAAAAAAAAAAAAAAAAAAAAAAAAAAAAAAAAAAAAAAAAAAAAAAAAAAAACAAAAATATGTGCATGGGACTCCTGTTTAATTCACAGTACCACTGATTAAAAGATCAGGGCTCAAAAAAAAAGAACTTGAGATAAGGAGAACATACACAGTGCGGCAGGACACTCGAATCGCTGGTGAAAGTCTCACCCGAGTGGCAATCTAATCCAAACGTAGCACAAATGTCACCAGCATAAACAGTATTAATTTCCTGAAATTAAAAAAATGATAAAGTACAAAAAAAAAACGCCAGCTGAAGCAGTACATATTTGTCAAATACATAGGTATTTCGTGCCTTTGTAAAAATTCGCCAATTTTTCCAAAACAAAAAAAAACCGAAGGAATTTAGCTGGTAAAGGTGCATTCAGGCCATTTACAAGACGAAAAAGCAGAGTTTATCAAATTAAATGTGCAGAATGGCTCAGGGGGCTGAGTAATAGTAATCAGTACCAGAAAACCCAGATGAATACTGTTATCGAGTTAATAGCATATACTACAACCTAAAACAAATCAAAAGTTGTACCTTTGAGAGTATCTCAAAATGTCGTGAAAAAAGATGCAACATTTCCCAACATTCTGGAGGTTTTTCAGTTTCGCTCAACCAGTGGTCATAGAATATCTTGATTCCAGTTTCCCAGATAAAAACAGGAACCGGATTCCAGCAAAATATGCAAATGCAAAGAACTTGACTGCAGAGGTTTACCCACTTGTTCCACAACTCCATGCAGCCTTTATCATGAGAGATTCGCAAAGTAAAAGGTCATTACCTCCATTTCAGCAGCATGCATTCGAACTAATCGCTGTACTCGGACTCGACGACCATCTTTGGAAGCATAAATAGTGTCACCCTTATTTAGTTGGCCTTGATACACACGGAAATAAGTGAGCTGTCCGTACTTCCCAGCCTAAACGAAGACCTTGAATTATCATATGAAAGATGGGAGAGGAGGGAAAGCTGAACAACAAGTACAACAAACCTCAAGCTTGAACGCCAAACCGACGAAAGGCTTCGCATTGTTTCTTTCAGGAGATAGAATTATTGGTTTCTCTTCGCTGAACGAGAAATTCAAAATAAAATGAAAAAAAAAAAAATAATTTTAAAACAAAATGAGAAAGAAAAAACGGGAACAATCTTAGTCTAGAATAAACAACCACCTTCCATCCTTGATATTTGCACGATTCACTACTTCGCTGGGATTGGGAAGATAACGCACTACTGAATCAATCATTGTTTGTACACCTTTGTTCTTCAGAGCTGATCCAGTAAGAACTGGAAGGAAGGATCTCTGAAAACGACAACGAAATTTCTTCGCAATGAAAAATTTCCAAATGAGCTCACCTTAATTACTGATCGACGTATGCCTGCGTGGATCTGATCTACGCTAGGATTTTGATCATTTAAGAACATTTCTCCAATGTGATCATCACCGTTCGCCAGGTGCTCTTTAAAAACAGCTTTAAATGAAATAAAGACCAAAAAAATGTAGAGGAATATTTCCAAGAGACACATAGTTTTTTTCATAAACATGGTTTATAAAATCCAAAATACTCTGAGCAACACCAGAGCCCGTCGTGGTCTTTAAGCACCATCTACGTTTGGCAGATTCGCCTCAAAAGCCAACAAAAGTAGGTTTAGGTAAAATGTATTTTAAATTTGACGTCCCAAAAATATTAGTGAATTGTTGTTCCATGTGAACTACACAAACCGATCAGTTCCTGCCTAAAATCCTTCACTTGTGCTCGCATGTCTTGAGGTACATCATCCACCCTCACAGTGAGACCTTCATCTCCTTCATAGTACATGGCTCGCTCCTCGATCAAATCCACAATTCCTCGGAAGCCAGAATCCTAACATAAAGGAATGTGAGAAAGGACGAATTAATTGAATTAGTGCCAATTATACAACCGTTCCGATCGTACCTTTCCAATAGGGAGGTGGATGAGAGCCGCATTGTGTTTCAGCTTGTTGCGGAGACCATCTAGGGCACGAAGTGGAGTGGCACCCGTACGATCCATTTTGTTTACGAAACAGATAAAAGGCACGTTGTACCTGAACATGTACCATGATTCAAATGAATGAAATTCACAAACAAAAAAAAACTCGAGTCTGCCCTAGTGTCTGTTGACGGTGAATGTCTGTGATTGTACCCCGCCAACTCCGCAGAGAACCAGCACAGCACCATCAAGGACACGTAGAGCACGTTCCACTTCTACAGTAAAATCAACGTGACCTGAAATAGAAAGCAAACACGTAATAACTTGGATTGTACTGAAACAGGCCGACATGATTCGATTCTAATCATAGAATCAGGGCAAAATTCAGAAATATTCAAAAGAAAACAGTCCTAGATGCTCAATAATGGAAGACTACTGTATCTGAAACAGCATCAAGATCCAATGTTCCCTAACGTGTGTTTACGAAGACAAAAGGACAGGAACGTCCCAGCTCAGGTAAAAGATAGGCCATTGAAAACTGTGGCTTAGCAATAATTCAATTGCAGGCGCATGAGCTTAGTTTTTGTGCAAGAATTAGAAACTTTCATTGCTCATCTTTGATGTCTGAATAAAGCCACATCGTGAATTTCAACTCTATTCGAAAGAAAATTGGCGTTTCTTCAATTCTTTGATAATTCACCCTTCGGAGCTTCTGTTTCGCCGTATTATAAGTAGCGCGTACGCCCAAATATAAGACTCCAAAGAGTATACTGAGTAATAAGAATGCTAATCAATTCTCGCTGGATACTCACACGATCTTCGATTGCTGAACTCACAGGCCGACAAAGAAAGGTCTGAAGTGTTTGTACGCAGCATGGTTGTTTTTGACAATTCGTGAGAGTTCTAGCGACCGCCATCACAAAAACAAGGTTGGCAAAACCTTCTCACGCTGCTTAATCTTCATTGGCGTTCAGCAAGCATAGGATGAACAATTTTGCAACGAATTCGAATTTTGCATTTGCCTTAGCGATAGCTGCATTCCCCCCAAAATTGATAGAAGCACATCACCCGTGATTGGCAGTGAACAGCAAAAGAGCAATAAAAACTGGATCAGGAAACTAAATCAGGTTCTAACGACGTATATATCCTACCAGGAGTGTCAATGATGTTGATATTTGTCCCATGCCAATCAACGTAGGTGGCCGCCGACTGAATAGTGATACCACGTTGCCGTTCCAATTCCATGAAGTCCATGGTGGCACCAACTTCATCTTTACCGCGAACCTAAGTAAATTGACGTCTTATTGAAGCAGTAATAGCAAAACACGAAGAACAAGGAGCTGGGTAGAGGATTGGAAATAGGAAGAACGACGTTTGCTTACTTCATGCATGGAGTCGATTCTTCCAGCATAGAAAAGAATCCGTTCTGTTAAGGTAGTTTTGCCAGAATCAATATGCGCCGAAATACCTAGAATCGAAATATTAGCCATGAACCTTTTTGGGTCACCGAAAAAAAGAACAAAACAAGAGAGGATAAGCATGTACCGATATTCCTGATACGTTCCACCGGCCTTACACCTGGTGCCAGGTTGGTGGCGGCTTGAGCCGCATTGGTGCTGCAGGCCCGGAGACAAAAAGCCTTCAAATACGTCAAATTTTGAAATAGAATTTCTTACTATAAAGGCGGAGTGTGAAAATTGTAGGGGAATATCAGTAAAAGTATCAATCAGTAAAAGTATCACCTTTCTCAACAAGGGAACCCTTAACACGGCAACCATTCCAATGTCCAACAGCGATGCTTGCGGAGAGTACCTAAAAAATTGAGGGAAGGGAGTGGAAGCAACAAGAGAGCCATACACAATATTCATAGGACGTGAGGGCATGAAGAAAAGTAATTGAAAAGACCTTCGTGCTTTAGGGACGCTTACTTAGTGTTTGAATTCATTGGTTTTATACAAAGAGGAGCGTTTACCTGCAGTTGGGACGGAACCAAAACGAGGAAAAGAACGTGAGCTTTCACAAACTCATAGAATCCCAGAATTTTTGAAATCCAACAGTATAACATCTCTACTCCTTGCGAAATATGTAGTTTCACGCAATAAAAGCGTTTCTAACAAGGAACTGTGACAAGTCGAAACACGCTTGCATGGATGTCAAACAAACTACAATAAATGCCTGAATAGAAAAACAGCCATGTCCTGAGACACACTACACATTCAAAATTACTTTGTCGCGAACAATATTACGATGAACTTCAAAATTTTAAAGAGCGACACGTCAATTGGCGCGAGCTGTTGATCATGCTCTGTATCGTCATGTGGAGTGTTGTCGTGAAGATTTTACGATATGCCAGGGTCGGTCCTATCGTTGTTACTTTCTGAAAAATTTTTACGACCCCCCTCCCCCAAGGTGGATTTGATACGACCCCCTTTTCGACACCTCGACCACCATCATCGTCTCTATAGTACTTAATTCTGATACCACTCAACCCTCCACTCGCCCAGCCTACTACCCACGAAATCTTAGTTTCACCTCAATCCCACACGTGATTTCGAGCGACTAAAGTGGGTACGACCCCCCCCCCTACAAACTCAACCAGGTACGACCCCCCCGTTGTTACTTGTAACAACGTAGGGTTGACCCTGGCATTCAGCGTGTTAGTTTCTGCTCGGGATTGTTAAATGTGCATTTAGACTGCAATGATTCTTTATTTTCAAACAAGTCTTTTCAACGATACAATGGAGCTGAATACAGAGGAGTTTTGTAACCTAGTTGTCTTATGAAGTTGGCCATGACCAGCTTATTGCGCCTTGTCAAGGAGCTGCTCCTCCTGGTATTCGTCATATGTTCGGGACGAAAAATCAGAGGAATCGCATCGAAAATCGGTGGTCAATGATCTAGAGTTGGGGAGTCTGCACGATGAGTTTGGAGCCGCTCTCAACTTTACTTCATGTGCTTTTCTGAGAGCCTCGACTTATTAACAAAAGCATATGGCTAGAATTCTCTCATCAGACTTTATTAGGTATTTTCTTTTAGCAGGTCGCAATAGAAGACTTAGTAACACACGTGGCATCTTATGGATAGGAGCAGGAACGTCAGGAGGCACCGATTTTTGAAGACCATAACAGCGTTTGATACTGGGTCTGCAATTGCGACATGTCTCACCGCGTGAAATGAAGTGTACGTCTCTTTTGCAATGGTGTGCTGGAATAGTTCTGCCTTTCAGGAGGGACAAGGTTGCGAGCGACCGCGTGAGATAGAGACAAGAATACACCACATCTTCCAATCACATTCTTTAGGCATTGTTCATAGTTTTGGAACCATCGGAATATTCGAATCTGCGAAAAGAAAAAGATACGTATCGACCAGGTGAATCCGCGCACGCGCGAACGCGGATGCGAAAAGGTTTAGATACGTATCGACGTAGTAAACCACGCCCTATTAGCGTTGCTAGAGGATTTTCGCACCGCCGTTTCGATGCTGCGATCTCCGATTGACTGATCGATAGACACTAATTCCTTTCAAGAGGATTCGCAGATTCCAATGCGCGATTCGAAGCCCCTCCCATTTTGTGGATCGATACGCACTTCATTCATTTCGCATTTGCGCAGATTCGTTCGGTTCGAGCGTCCTCCTCTCGTGGCGCAAACTATGAACAATGCCTGAGACACCTCGGTCTAATGGGCGATAACGGGCCCTATTGGGCACTTTCGCCCGAGCCACGCAGCTTCGGTCGCAAAAGGTGCACAGCCTTGGATTGACGGAACGGGTTGGTTCATTCCGTTGCTCCCAGATTTTCGCCGCAAATCCGGGTAACTGAGTATTCACCTTGATAAACTTTTTATTTACACTTTGATCATGTGTATCAACTATTCAATGCCCAGTATCTGAAGCTCACATTATTGTAGACGATTATTAGTCAGAATTTATAATTTTTATCATTTCTTCGCAATATTTCACAGTTCTATAACAATGGATCATAACAATGTGTACAACAGAATTTAAAGACAGCGCTCACAATGAATTGAATAGCTTCATGTGAAACAATTGCAGATGATATTTCAGAAAACAAGAAGAGCGTCGAGTACAGAACACGCATCAAAAGTGACGACGGCCAAGAAAAAGTCATAAGTTTTTTTCATTCGTCAATCCCACTAGTGGTGTGTGGTCTGCACTCCAATTTCTCCTCAATTTGCAAAATAGACGGAATATAAAATAAAAAATCTCCAAGGAAAAGAAATGATAGCTAAAAATGTCATTTTCAATCCAAGAACGACGCTCCACCCCTGACAGGCCTCTCAGTTTGTACAAACGAGACGAGGACCCTACATACTGTTGACGCCAGATATTGGATCCTCAGCTTTTAGGCCGATGTCAGACTTTGCGAATCGCGCGATTCGCTAGCGTCTGCGGTCGCGTCGCGGCCAGTGAATCACTCAATTGGCTGGTACCGCAACGCGACCGCGGACGCTAGCGAATCGCGCGAATCGCTAGTAGCGAATCGCGCGATTCGCAAAGTCTGACATCGGCCTTAGGGTAATGGGGGAGGGAGGAGGAGACATGTGGTGGCAGTGATTCTCCTGCTAGGGTGGGTGTTAAACCTCATGGCTCGTACGCCAGGGATTTTCCTTCCCTGCAAGAACTGGAAGTTGGTTGACGGCAGCAACAGTTCCACCACATGCCCCTCCCTTCACCCATTGCTGGACGGGACCGCAGATGTGCTATATGGTGCAAAAATAACCAGAGGAAGTAAATTTTGTCGCCCAAAATTTTCACGAAAATAGGTCCACTTCGAATTTGGCGAGGGGCCTATTTCTCCCTCTCAGGGTATCGTCAATTACTATTTTTGTATAATATGATCGCGGTTGCAAAAAACACTTAGGCAGTGCTATAATGTAGCTCCTACTTTCGCGTCTCAAGCCTGTCGTGATCGGAGGTCTCAAATGAGAAATAATATCCGAATTCATTTCATAGCCTAATTTTACGGAAGCGTCTACGAAGAAGTACAGCTCGCCACCAGCTTTGAATGACCCGTGCTGCTGTTTCGCTCAATTCTATGAAGAGAAGTGCTCCTTGGGAACGAAGATACTCGGCAATCTGAACGAAGCACATAACTAATAAATAAATAGGTAAACAAAGTACGTTATAAGAACAGATACAGAAAAGCCTTCTTAGCTAATATCGATATGATCTCCACAGTTTTTTTTTATAGGGGGGGGATACACTTGTAAACGCCTCGCTATGCTTACCGCATTCGCCACCTTCGGCCTTGGCGATCAGTTGTCCACTCTCTACTCTTGGTCCTCTAGAGATCGACATCCCGTTACCATCAGGGGTCTTACGCACGCGCTGGCACGCAACGTACTTGTTGGGGTCAGGGAATAGGCCCTGCACATGAGCCCGCAGCAGGCACGCATCTCAGAGCATTCTCGCGCACGCATTCCCTTCCGAGGTGTTGTGGGCACCCTGGAATCCCACGTTTTGCCGGGTCCGGTGGACAGACCACCGATGCACGCGCTGCACCACAGGCCACAATACATGCAAAATGGGGATGGTCCACCCGCTTGGAGTCGATCAGCCCTATTTCAAGATGTGTCATGCAATCAAGATCATGGAGATGTGGGGCCTGTGTCTTCGATGGGGGAGGCGGGGGAGGGTGTACAACTCGGAAGTTCGCAATGAGAGCGCTAATGCCTTGCCTGACAGCTGGCACCGCTGCCATTTTTACTCGTTCACAACGTAGGCGATGTCTGCACTCTCTCGTACGACGTGTTATTTCACGTAATCCCTCTTCTCACTGCACTGTGTCTCTCCGTATGACCACGGTCAGCCTCACAAAAAAGGAGGCCCTGAATTTCAATGTTTTCTAAAGTGAGGAAAACTCACGTTGCTGTGCTTGTTATCAACAGCACACTGTAAGCATGTCTTCCTCATGTCGTTTACAGCGTTTAGTGCAGCGCCACCTTTCAGCAACGCCAGAACACAGTCCATTTTGCCACGGGAGCACGCTATATGCAAGGCTGTCTCACCTAAAAAATCCAAGATAATTTTGAGATGCAGTGATCGGATCGGCTGTAATTACAAAAGTCAGAAATTTTCAATTCTTGAAGTAAGCCAAGCTGAGGCGCAGGGTGGCTCGGGGGAGCACTCTGTAGTAAGGCCTCCGGCACTGAGCCTAGGACACTCCGGAGAATACGAAAATTGCTTCCGCACACCGGAGTTCTCTCCCCTCTTCAAAAGGCTTAGTCCTAAACTGAGCTTTTCCGTGATCTTGACGCGATCTTCCGTGGCGCCCCCTCCCCGAGTCACATTGCGCCCGAGTTGCAAAGTGTAGAAGTGAATTGCTTCAAGTCGATTGGTTTACATTCATCACCTCGGCTTTCATTTAGACAGTCTTCGCTAGGTAAATAAACAAGTTAATAAAATAAAAATGAGAATAAATTTCGGAAGGAATATGTAATATTTAACAAACATAAATTGGTAGAAATAAATAAAATAGAACCAAGGAATATCACAAATTTTGAGCCTTCTCTTCTCACAGAATTGAATGAAAGAAAACCGTTAGTTAGAGTAAGTTGAAAACAAATCATAAACAAATAAAAAAATATATACAGCAATGACCAACCGTGTTTGTCTTTCCAGCCTGTCAACGGTGATATCAGGCAGTCGTCTTCTGCTTCTATCTGTAAACCATAGAATTCAATTTGTCATTTCTTCACCTCAGCTCACTTTCATTACTTGATTTTTCAATTCCTCTTCTTTTTTCATGACATCATTTATTGTTTTTGTTGATCTTCCCTTGTTACCTGTTTTT